GCATTATATTTTAAAAGCAGTGACACCTTGGTTGATTGGATACCCCAAACTCTATGTGAAATATCAGGATAATGCAGCTGTATCCTAACAGCAGTGTTGTAGAGACAAGATGTATGGTATTGCAGAGCTTCAACAGGAATAGAGAAGGCAAGAACCATTGAAGGCACAAATAGAGGTGAAATAGAAGGTGGACACAAGATAGTAGATACAATTTAAGGAAAGACAAATTTACACTAACTGAGTGCTTTCCTTGACATCATAGCTTTTCAAACTGCTTAAGTACTTGAAAAATGTGCTTAAACTTTAAAAAAGTGTCTAATGTAGGAAACAGGCCAACCTGTTTGTGTACAATGAGCTCCTAGATGATATGTTCAAACTAATATGTGTGTCTTTAGCTGAGTAAAAATGGAATTTATTACAAAGAAAGTAGTTGATGCCGAAACATTGAATGTATTCAAGAGATGGCTAGATATAGCACTTGGGGTGAATGGGATCAAAGGTTATGGGGAGAAAGCAGGATTAGGCTATTGAGTTGGATGATCAGCCATGATCATGATGAATGGTGGAGCAAGCTTGAAGGGCAGAATGGCCTCCTCCTGCTCCTGTCTTCTATGTTTCTATTTGGGTGAGCTCACCTACTATTCTTTGAAATAGTATCATGGATTATTTCAGTTCCACTTGAGAGGAAGATGGAGCCTCCATTTGAGACATGTAACTCAAAGATGACAATTCAGCCCTTCTCAATATTGCATGGGATATCACACCAAATTTTGTGCTTGAATCTCTAATATGCAATTTGAATGCATGAACTTCTGTTGCAGCCAATGCAAACTGCTTTCAAACCAGTACCGACAATAGAAATTATGGGTAATTTACCCTTTCCAGAAACAACTTTCTGTAAATGAGATGGAAGTCCTATATCAGCTAAAATAACACAAAACAGATAAATTCTCAGGAATAGATGGTACATTTAGTGCACATTTATAAACCCCACATTTATAATGTTTAAGGGGGAGTGATTGGGCAGGCTCAGTAGATTAGAAATAGGCTGGTGTAGGAGGTCATATGTATGAGGTAGCAAAACAGGGACAAGAAGCTAAAGGCTAGTTGGTTCCTTTCTAATTCTGTTTAAAATAATAGGTGTAATTATCAAGTGTAAATATTGATTACTCTGACCCTGTAATCAATTATCGTGGATTCAGAAGCAGAAGATCATGGCTGATCAACCTCCTTTGTTTCAAAGAAATGGCAAGTAAAGTAGATCTTATATTTAAGTGATATGCATGGATTTGCAACAAGCATTTAATTGTTTTCTGGATAGGATTCCACCAGTTAAGCTCAAAACTCTAATATTCAAGATGTTAGAACTGGATACAAAATTGACAAAGGGTAGAAAACAGCAGGTTTTCCAGAGAAATTTTGTCGGTGTGAGGGGAGTAATGAGTTTCTTGACAAAGTTTGTGTAGGGCCAATGCTTTTCTAATTTAAATCAAGATATGATTTCAAAAGCTCAATGCCAATTTGTCAAATTTGAAGACGACACCAAACTGGAATTGACAGAGGTTTGGGACTTCAGAAAATAGTTAAATCGAATATTTAAGCAGTCAGATTAATAACACATAGAATTTAATGCAGTATGATTTTCTTTCATTATAATCCTAAATGTCTGTATGAAATACTTGGAAAGGTAGTGGCTGAATATTCTCTGATGGAATGTGTGTGTGACATACTTCAAAATAATGATATTTGTATAGCAAAATGAGCCAGTCTTACATCAAGTTGAGAAATTGATTTACATTGCATTTTGCTTAAGGAACTTCCTTACTATCTAGAATCTCAGGCCATCATTTTTCCCTGCCCCCTTTTTTTGTTCATTATTTCACAGCATGGAGATGTCACTAGCTAAGCCACCATTTATTGCCCATCTCTAATTATCCTTGAGAAGGTGGTGGTGAGCCACCTTCTTGAACCAGTTCAGTCCACATGATGCTACATGCAGAATGTTATTAGGATGTCCTAGGATTGGTGTGTGGATAAATAGAATGTACAAGTAGGTAATGGTGTTTCCATGCATCAACTGCCCTTGTTTTTCCAGTGGTAGAGGTTGCAAGTTTGGATGATGCTATCCAAGGCACCTTGTTGAATTGCTGCAGTGTATCTTGTGTGTAGTTGCCACAGTGCTTTGGTGGTGGGAATGAATGTTTAAACTGGTGAATTGGGTGCTAATGAAATAGACTGCTTTGTCCAAGATAGTGTCAAGCTTTGAGTATTGTTGTAGCTGCATTTATCCATACAAATGGGGAATATTCCATCCCATTCCTCTGCCTTGTAGACATTGGACAGGCTTTTGGGAGTCAGTAGGTGAGTTACTTGCTGCAGAATCCCCAGTCTCTGAGTGCTCAATGGGTTCAGTGGTGATAATTCCATTGAACATCACGTGAAGATGATCAGATTCTCTCATTGGATATGGCCATAATCTGGTACTTTTAAGGTGTGAACATTATTTGCCATTATCAACCAAGACTTAATGCATATTGACATGACAGCTTGAGTACAGCTTGAGGAGTCGCACATGATATTGAACATTGTGCAATCACTTCGACCTTACCTCTAGAGTTCCGCTGTTTGGTCCATGTTCAGGACAAAGCTGTAACGAAGTCAGAAGCAGAATGGCCCTGCTGGATTTCAAACCCAGTGTCAGTGAGCAGGTAATTGCTATGTAAGTGCTGCCTGATAGCACTATTGATGAAAACTTCCATAACTTTGCTAACAATCAAGTGTTGATTATTGGGGCAGTAATTAGACTTGTTAAAAATTTTGTCCTGATTTAAATGGACAGGACATGGCCAGGAAATTTTAGCACTCTTAGGTTAATGCTAGTATTGTAGCTGTACTGGAACAGTTTGGTTCATCTGGAGGAAAAATCTTCAGCACATGACTCCTGACTCTGTGGCCAATGGGCCGAGGATTGGCACATAAATGTGAGGTGCTACATTTTGGAAAGGCAAATTGGAGCAGGACTTATACACTTAATGGTAAGGTCCTGCAGAGTGTTGCTGAACAAAGAGACGTTGGAGTGCAGGCTCATAGTACATTGCAAGTGGAGTCCCTGGTAGACAGGATAGTGAAGAAGGCATTCGGTATGCTTTCATTTACTGGTCAGTGTGTTGAGTACAGGAGTTGGGAGGTCACGTTACAGCTGTACAGGACATTGGTTAAGCTACTTTTGGAAAGCTGTGTGCAATTGTGATCTACCTACTACAGGAAGGATGTTGTGAAATTTGAAAGGGTTCAAAAAAGACTTACAAGGATGTTGCCAAGGTTGGAGGTTTTGGGCTATAGGGACAGGCTGGATAAGCTGGGGCTATTTTCCTTGGAGCATCAGAAGCTGTAGGGTGACCTTATATAGGTTTATAAAATCATGAGGGGCATGGATAGGGTCAATAGCCAAGGTCTTTACCCCAGAGTGCGGGAGTCCAAAACTAGAGGGCATAGGTTTAAGGTGAAAGGGGAAAAGATATAAAAGGGACCTAAGGCTCAACTTTTTCACGTATTAATTCGTACTTGTAAAAGACTCTCCGAAATCAGAGTTTAAGGGGTCCAGTCAGAGAGGTAGTAGTGTGGGGGGTCTTCAGATTGGGGCCTATGAAAGTGTTTGGTTTGTTTTCCGCTGCGCCCTTGTCATTTTGACAGCTCGAGGTGAGTAAACTTGCTCCATGAGATGGTGTGCCTTGATCTGAACATGGTCTGGAAAATGAGATGAACTGCAGAACGAGGGTGGTGCATGTATGGAATGAGCTGCCAGAGGAAGTGATGGAGGTGGGTACAATTACAACATTTAAAAGGCATCTGGGTGGGTATATGAATAGGAAGGGCTTAGAGGGATATGGGCCAAATGCTGGCAAATAGGGTTAAGGCAGCTGGTGGGCATGGACAAGTTGGCCCGAAGGGTCTGTTTCCGTGCTGTACAACTCTATGACAGTATAACTGCCGCAATGTTGTCAGGGCCTGCCTTCTTTGCTGTATCCAACACCTTTAGCCAATAGTTTTTTACTGTCAGAGAAGTTAAATGTCTGACGATTGGCATCTGTGACGTTGGGAAAGGTGAGGAGCAGGCCAAAGTGGAATATAGCTGCATATGCTTCAGCCTCGTCTTTGCGGTAAGTACATTTCTCTACTTAGAAATAAAACGCGTTCGCGTTTTTTAAAAAACCTTTGAGCATGGCACAATACCAGCGCACGCTTAATTGCATGCTGATACTTACTGATTATTCCTTTTATAGAGATATCAGATGTGCAATGGGAAACCCCCAACACGGAACTGGCAAGAACACCATTCGAGGAGCTCGAATTTCTCGCTTTTGTCACAGAATGGAACAAATTTCTCTCAGCAGAAAGCCACCGTATAGTCTGTAGGGTTTACACTCCCCCGGGCTTTCAGGTTTTGCTTTGAAGGCACTCCTTCAGCCGCCCACCCAACTCCTTCCCCATCTCCGACCTAACTCAATATCTCCTTAGCCCTAAGCTGCATCCTGACTAACTCGTCCCCATACAGTCAATGCAAACTATTAACTCCAAATCTTAATCAGGAACCGGCAAATCCAAACATGATGCAAAATTTTTACTTGAAATCATAATTAAGCCCCCCTCGCTTATTCTGCCACCTAAAAGCGCCCTGTACTGTGACTACGGATTTTCGGGTGGTGAAAGTGACACATCTCATCGCCCCTGGGGCGCGTGCACGCAGTATGCACGCCCACTCAGTTCCTCTCCTCCAATCAGAGGCCTGGCCGTATGGGGCGGGGTCTGAAGGGTTGCCGGCCGGGCTGGTTGGAAGGGGGCGGGGTCACTGGACCTTGGGCGTGGCTGGGAGTAAGGGGCGGGATCACCCGTGGTTTGTGGGCGGGGTCGATGTGGGGCGGGACCATGGTGTCGTGGGCGGGGCGAAAGTGTCCACCACCAGAAGGATAGGGGCGACCGCATGCGCATTGCAGCTAGTTTCAACGCCGCTGGTTGTAGGGTTGGAGCAGGAGGGTCCTAAGGGAACAGACCGAGAAAAAGAGAAAGAAATCCTGATACAGCTCCAGCTCCAGTTCCAGCTCCACCGGAGGGAGAGCTGACAAACTCACATTGTCTGTAGTATTCCGGAGACTAATTCGTACTTGTAAAAGACTCTCCGAAATCAGAGTTTAAGGGGTCCAGTCGGAGAGGTAGTAGTGTGGGGGGGTCTTCAGATTGGGGCCTGTGAAAGTGTTTGGTTTGTTTTCCGCTGCGCCCTTGTCATTTTGACAGCTCGAGGTGAGTAAACTTGGTCCATGAGATGGTGTGCCTTGATCTGAACATGGTCTGGAAAATGAGATGAACTGCAGAACGATCTGTTTATATCTGACATGTTGCTGCTTTTTTTAAAATAAGTAGTTGTCCATCGTGTGAGGTTTTGATTTTGGGGGAGGGTTGGGGTTTGTTTTGAATCCCATCCTTCACGTGTGCATCACCCAATGTTCACGGCTATAAGGGAAAATCGAATGAAATCCCTTGCATATTTTTCACCATATGCAGAAAGAAGTTTTTTTGGCGTCTCTTCTGATACGAAGGAGCTTAAAAAAACTGCCCATGCCAGTAAGCAGTATAGAACTTTTACATGTCCGTTATGTGTATATCATCTGGCTTTTTCAGTTTTGTTTTTAAAAGAACAGCTTTCTTTTTTTATCAGTTTGCACGACAGCAGTTTCTTGAACAATTTGTTTTACATGCTTTTCAAATTGGCGCTTTCACCCTATAACGGTTAATGGGATAAACCGAGAAATAATACGGTATCAGTTCAGGGATCTGGACACATGCAGTTACAGAGCAACTAAAATGGTAGCAGTTATTACCCTAATGTATATATACGGTTACCGTCGTAATGTTAAGCTTTTACATGCTATATGGCTATAAATTGAAATTAAATACATCCGCTATGAAATCTGATTGTTAGCAATAGATTGTGTTGCTGAATGGTTTAACACATCGTCAGTAAGAAATGCTGTTTTCATTTTGTTTTAACTTTCATTTAGCATGTATATCTTTGTAAAACGTGGTGCTGCAAGTCCTGATATGGTCAAACTAATTATTATAGATGTTAATTATATTATCTTACCTTTCCTAAAGAATCATGATAATTAATCTATCTGAAACTATATAGATGAGGGAGAATCTCAGTCAACTGTAGAGACAGATGGTGTGGTTAAAATGTTTGATATTGGCATAATGTTTTTATTATTGAAGTGCAAGTAAGGAGTAATGGGTTTTACTGGGTTGTGCTGTTTAAAATTATATTTGAAGTTGTACAATTTCTTTAACAATCTCAGGATGTTACAAGCTTCACAGGCAATGAAATACTATTTGAAGCATAGTGACTGTTTATAATGTTGGCAATGCAGCAGCCAATATGCAATCAGCATATTCCAACAAACAGCAAAGATATAATGACCAGATAATTTGTTTTCAGTGAAGCTGGTCAATGGAGGAATGTTTAAATAATCTTTGGGGTACCGGGAGAACATTATCTGCAGCAACAGGCAGAACCTTGATTTAATTGTCACTTGCAACTTTCGTGAGTACTGCTCTGCAGTGTCACTTTGTAATGTGCACAAAGCTGTTGGTGGGGAGGATTGTGTACACAACCCTCTGAACCAGGTGAATCTCTCAGTGAAGTTTTCTACCTCAGTATCTTAACTGCATCTGAGGAGCACTAGCTGGATGAGATGTAACTGTGAGTGAAACTCTTTGAAAAGGGCCAAAATATTAAATTGCTAGCAGATCCTCTGGACTGTTTTTGAATGTTGACAGATTGGTATTGTATGAGGTACAATTAATATGCATCAGATATTAAAATAAAGTAGTGTGCAATATGCTGAGCCATATAGTTTCTCTCTGCAATTAGCCATACTGCTCATTTTGTGCTGTTGCTTGATAAGCATGTTCTTTAACTACTTCGTGATCATGGTTGGAGTTCAGTTGATGAGACTTTGCATTGTAGAGTTACAGCCTGCAAGAGATTGTACAGAAAGAAAGATGGTGAAATCAGAAGTTGAGATGAAGAGTGAGATTCTGCATGTTTTTGTGATTTTTAAAAAGCTGAGAGTGATGATGTTGGGACCAGAGCCTGAGGGGAGGAACAGTAATGGTTTTGTAATGTAGCATAGGATCTTGCTATTGAGGACAGAATATGCTCCAGTGGAAAACAATGATGCCTCATTACATTCCAACAGTATTGCTGAAGTGCTGTAGGAAAGAGCTAAAATGGCTTTTAGAATATTTGTTGGTTGAAACATTTAGTGCTATAAAAGTAATAGAATTCAAGTACCAAAAGCATTTTTTTTGGAACTATTTCCATGCAATAATAATTTACAGATGAATCTGATTTATACGGGCAGTTATACTGCAGCTTCTGGCCTTAGGGTGGCACCTGTGGTTTGTAATGTGCAGTTGGTAGAACAGTAAGGTTGTCCAGTTCACAGCAATATAATAAGTACTAACCGAAAACAGAAAGAACTGCGGATGCTGTAAATCAGGAACAAAAACAAAGTTGCTGGAAAAGCTCAGCAGGTCCAGTTCTGAGGAAGGGTCACCGGACCCGAAATGTTAACTCTGATTTTTCTTTCTTCACAGATGCTGCCAGACCTGCTGAGCTTTTCTAGCAACTTTATTTTTGTTCATAAAAAGTACTAAGGTCAGTGTAAGGAAATCTTTTGTACCATCACCTGTAATTTTTCCCTCCAACCCAAGCATCATCCTCACTTGCAAGTACATCACTGTTCCTTTATTGTTTTTGGGTCAAAATCCTGGAACATTCCGTCTATAGTTTTAAAATAGTGATGGAAAAGGATAGACCGGATCTAAAAGGTAGATCTCTCATTTGGAGGAAGGCCAATTTTCACAGTAAGAACTTTCAAAAGTTGATTGGGGTGGTGGTGGGGGTGGGGGTGTTCACAAGTAAAGGGACATCTGGAAAATGGGAAGCCTTCAAAGATGAGGAAACAAGAGTCCAGAGACAATATGTACCTCAAGACTGATACATATAGGGAATGCTGGATGACTAGAGAAATTGAGGTTTTGGTCAAGAAAAAGAAGGAAGCATATGTCCGGTATGGACAGCAGGGATCAAGTGACTCCCTAGAAGAGTAAAAAGACAGTAGAAATATAGTTAAGAGGGAAATCAGAAGGGCAAAAAGGGGACATGAGATATCTTTGGCAAATAAGATTATGGAGAATCCAAAGGGATATGACAAATATTTTTCAGGACGAAAGAGTTACAGGAGAGAAAATAGGACCCCTTAAAGATCAGCAAGGCTGCCTATGTGTGGAACAGCAGGAGATAGGGGATATACTATACAAGTATTTTGCATCAGTGTTTACTGTGGAGAAGGATGTGGAAGATAGAGAATGTGGGGAAATAAATAGTGACACTTGAAAAATGCCCATATTACAGAGGAGATGTTGGACATCTTAAAAGGTATAAAGGTGGATAAATCCCCGGGACCTGATCAGGTGTACCCTAGAACTCTGTGGGAAGCTAGGGAAGTGATTGCTGGGCCCCTGGCTGAGATATTTGTATCATCAATAACCACAGATGAGGTGCCAGAAGACTGCAGGTTGGCTAATGTGGTGTCTCCATTTAAGAAAGGTGGTAAGGAAAAGCCAGGGAACTCTAGACCGGTGAGCTGGATGTTGGTGGTGGGCACGTTGTTGGAGGGAATCTTGAGGGACAGATTTACATGTATTTGGAGAGGCAAGGACTGATTAAAGATAGTCAGTATGGCTTTGTGCACGGGAAATTGTGTCTCACTAACTTCATTGAGTTTTTTGAAGAAGTAGCGAAGAAGATTGAGGGCAAGGCAGTGGACGTGATCTGTATGGATTTCAGTAACTGTTCTACAAGGTTCCTCATGGTAGATTAGCAAGGTTAGATTACGTGGAATACAGGGAGAACTAGCCATTTGGATACAGAACTGGTTCGAAGGTAGAAGACAGAGGATGGTGGTGGAGGGTTGTTTTTCCGACTGGTGGCCTGTGGCACACTGCTGGTCACAATGAACGGTGCTGGGTCCATTGCTTTTTGTCATTTACATAAATGATTCGGATGTGAACATAGGAGGTATAGTTAGTAAGTTTGCAGGTGACACAAAAAGTGGAGATGTAATGGACAGTGAAGAAGCTTGCCTCCGAGTACGAAGGGACCTTGATCAAATGGGCCAGTGGGCCAAGGAGTGGCAGATGGGGTTTAGTTTGGATAAATGTGAGGTGCTGCATTTTGAAAAGGCAAATCAGGGCCGGACTTATACACTTAATGTTAAGGTCCTGGGGAGTGTTGCTGAACAAAGAGGCCTTGGAGTGCAGGTTCATTGTTCCTTGAAAGTGGAGTTGCAGGCAGACAAGATAGTGAAGAAGGTGTTTGGTATGCTTGCTTTTATTGGTTAGTGCTTTGAGTATAGGAGCTGAGAGATCATGTTGCGGCTGTACAGGACATTGATTAGGCCACTTTTGGAATACTGTGTGCACTTCTGGTCTCCCTCCTATAGGAAGGATGTTGTGAAACTTGAAAGGGTTCAGAAAAGATTAACAAGGATGTTTCCAGGGTTGGAGGGTTGCAGTCTTTGAGCTATAGGGAGAGGCTGAATAGGCTGCGACTATTTTCCCTGGAGTGTCGGAGGCTGAGGAGTGACCTTATAGAAGTTTATAAAATCATGAGGGGCATGGACAGGGTGAATAGCCAAGGTCTTTTCCCTGGGGTGGGGGAATCCAAACCTAGAGGCCATAAGTTTAAAGTGAGAGGGGTAAGATTTAAAATGGACCTCAGGGGCAACTATTTTACACAGGGGTGGTGCGTGTTTGGAATGGACTGCCAGAGGAAATGGTGGAGGTTGGTACAATTAAAACATTTGAAAAGCATCTGGATGGGGTATATGAATAGAAAGATTTAGTGGGATATGTGCCAAATGTTGGAAAATGGGACTTGATTAATTTAGGATATCTGGTGGGCATGGACAAGTTGGACTGAAGGGTCTGTTTCCGTGCTGTACAGCTCTATGATTCTAACAATTGGGTCTGCCCACCCCACATGGACAGCAGTGGTTAAGAAGGCAGCTCACCCGTACCTTCTAAAGGACATTTACAAATGGGCAGTAAAATGCTGGCCTAGTCTACAATTCCCACATCCCATAAGTGTATTTTAAAAAAACCTTGCATGTGGAAATATGCAAAGCTGTTCCCCTGGCATGTCAATTCTTAACGGCAGCTGGAAAAAGTTTTAATAT